CCTTCTCTTTGATCTCCATATTTGGCATACGTTCGAACCACTCATTGACGGCTGCCACCTCACCCTGAGCAAATGAAGTAGCTTTGCCTTGCTCAAGGACCAGCAGCTCAGCGAGGTCGCCGATAAGGGTCTTGTACTCCTCGCCCACAGCCTTGATCTTCTCCGCACGCTCTTGCCATGTTGTCTTGGACCAAGATTCGAAAGCCTTCTGGGCATGCTCAACGGCTTCATCAAGCACCTCGCGGGTCGCAATGGGGACGGAGGCAACTTTTTCCTCGGTCGCGGGATTGATCACATCCAACGTCTTTGCATTTTTCTGGTCATATGGCTTTCCGTTGATGATGTGGGAGAAAGGGCCCTGCTGGATGAGTTTTGCTGACGCCATTTTGGGAAAGCGGTGGTGGGATGGGGATGTAGGAGGACAGAAAGTGAGGGGTGGAAGAAGCAATCACAAATACCTTGACATAGTGCGGTCTCAGTCAGCAATATATAGTGCGTCCACTTGCTAGCACGGTGAAAGCGGGTGCTTCTTCGGTATTCTAGAGCATCTGGAAGCTGTTTAGCCTCGGCTGGGTGGTCTTGGCAGGTGTAAGCGGCAGGATGATGACACATTCCGCCGTGTGATGGACCCGACAAGCCTTGTCGAACGGGAGAAGAGCAGGCGATGATGCAGGAAACACGGCGGCTATTCTACATGACAGCCCTTCAATAATGTGCAATGCCTTCGAGCAAGCCGCTGATGCTTCGAAGCGGAAGAAAGCCATGTCACACAACGTGCATGTGAAAGGAACTCGACTCACCAGACGCATCAAATGGAAACCGGTCTCCGAGTCAAAGCCGACAGAGAAGCACATTACTTCTCGCGCATCTCATACCGAACTCTCCAAAACTGCTGGAATGTTGGTCTTTCTCGTCTCCAGGCAACCGTTTGATCTTGCGTCCGCGTCCCCATCTCAGCAAAGTCTTACTACGGTTGGCTGGCGATCTTCGCACCTTGTCCGGATACAGATTGCTCATGAAAAGAGTGTATACGATGTAGAAATGACGGGAGAAAGCCAACCTAACAGTTCATTTCGAGCGAACGATCTAAAACTCGACATCTTAACATCTTCCCTCCAGCAGCATCGAGTGGAACCCTTGTCTTCCACAACTCTCAGTCGCCCTTTACAGTAACCTTAACCTCAGCATTGACCTCACGTCCTTCTCTACACAAGCGTCAGCAGTAGCATTGAAGAGAAACAGGTTACTTTCCACATACTTACGAGGAGCTTGAAGACGAAGAGGAGCTTCCGCCCGAGGACGAAGAAGATGAGGAGCTGCTACTTCCTCCTGATGATGATGAAGAGGAGGAAGAAGAGCTACCATTATCCTCATACTTCTCCGTGTGTTCGTGAGAGTGATAACCCATGATCGTCTGATTTTCTGTTGTGCGGATGGTTGAGGGTTTTGATCTTTATTGGGCGCGAAGATCGTGCTCGATTGATAACTAGGGAAGAAGTGCTCGAGAGAAACTCTGAGTACTCATACTACTTGAGCACGAACGTTTGCATGACGGAGTGAAGGCGTCAGAAGGAGGCAACCGCACACGTAGCAAAGGCACTCACCGGTAAATAGGTGGCAGGCGCTGATAGGACAGCCTTACTGCATTGTCGATCCTACTGATCTGGAGGTCTTGGAGACTGGAATCAAACCGGCTGTTAAGCGATGCCCGCTTTATGGGGCGTCAAAATGATGTGAACAACTCATCGGTTCGTGTTTTGAATATCCAATTATCGAAAACATAAGGAGATCACAGCCTGGTTTCTCGATGGTCAGACAAAGTCCAGCAGCCCTCGGGTAACAAATGAGGCTTGCAAAGACTGTAATTGCCTCATTCATGCTGCAGGCTGACGGTGTGCTATCTCTCTCTAGGAATCTAGGTGAACATATCAACCCATACCTAGAGCTCTCTAGTGATTCCAACAGCTGCAGCAGGGACCGTCAGTCTAAGTCTGCTCACTATTTCTACGAGAAATTTGAATACAAACCCAAGATGTCCACCTCCAAGAGTTCTTCCAAGTCCAACAGCGACGGAAGAGTTGATACTTCCACCTCTGGACCCAACGCCAAAGCCTCCGCCAAATCAAGAGACGAGAAGGGCGATGAATGGATCTCCAAGTCTACAAGCAAACTCGATGACAACGGCTCCCCAATCACAAAGAAGATTTTCGGGCGCAGGGGCGATGACGAGGAAGATGATGATGACTCTGGATCAAGCTGGACATTTCTGGGTTCGAAGTCTTCGAGGTCCCGCACATCTAGGTCCAATGGAGACGACGAGACGATGCCTGAGGCGGATTCTAGTACGGGGAAAGATTTTCATACAAAGGCCGGGAAGGCTTCTGCTGGAGTGAAGGATGGAGTCGCCTGGTCCAAAGCTGGCTAGAATAGAAGGGTTGACTGAAGGTAATCTTGATGGAAGATAAGGTGTACTCATATGCACTGTCGAAATACCAACGATGAACGAAATCAATGTAAACAAGACTCTTCCAGTCAGATTCTGCTATCAGACCACTTCTCTGCTTTTACACAAATGATCGTGGGCCTCTACCTCAATGTCAGGCGCACCACTTCAGCTTCTATCGCCCTTGTTACCTTCCATCTCAAATTTAAAGTAGTGGTATGTGCATCGGA